CTATTTCAATGCAAATAGAGTAGTGTTTAAAATGTTATGCAGGATACTGTTTTTTTGTAAAAAATTAAGGGCTACATCTTGCATTTGTCCTAGAGATTCTAAAATTTTTTGCATTTACAATAGTGGCAGAACCAGACCTGTGAAGACTGGTTGATAGAAAACTGGTTGGAGACTTGTTGGGCAGAAAAAATGTAATATGTGATACAGAAAAAGATGTAAGTGTGGATGTGAGAAGTAACTCCTTAGAATGAGGAACTGTATCTTAGAAAAATCAATTCCATTAAATCAATTAAGGATAATATAGCAAAAGATAGTGGGTTCCAGAATTCCATAGCAGAAACTTCCATGTTTCCAAGAGATTCTGCAATAAAGAACGGCCAACTCAATACTACTGATGATTAAACTAACATACAATGAACCAGTTAACAAAGACATAAGTAAAAATCCTGATGCATGCAAATACTGAAAGCCACATTTTCCTCCCTCTTTATAAGCTCCACTTCTCAAATGCAATCCCATGCAGTTAAGAGATTGTGACACCTTTGAAATAAGTCTGAGCCTGATCCTCTGAGGATGTTAATTATTCAGTCAACAAAGGGATAAGGATGAGCAACTTTGTTCAAATTATCTGGTAATTAATCACTTTTACACACACCTCACCATTACACAAGCTGGAATCTAGGGTCAACCGTACTCTCCTCACTAGGCTATATACATGGTTTATGAAAGGGATTTTTTGATGAAATATAGCTGGTATGTTTCTGACTACAACACAACAAACATACCAGAACAACAGGGCTTTATACTCCAATGGCCCCCTAGAAATGGATCTTTACGCTAAAATCTTTGCTTTAACTAAGCAGTTTCTCTCAAATCACTCAGGCCTCCTGCAAATACCGTATACAATATATTTACCTAATAATCAGTGTCTCAATCAGAGTGACATGAGATATTAATACTATTAGACCTATACATGACTCACAAGATAAACCCAGAGATTTCAAATAGGAATTCATAGTGTCAAAATCATTCTGACCTGTTGTGATCTACTTGAGTTCTTGCAACAGAAAAATTCCTTTATGATTTTTCTGTTGTTAAAAAGTGAAAGCTAAGAAATGGCATTTTCTGAGGAGTGCCTCAAGTCTCAAAAGACTGAGAACCACTGTAATAAATAAAACAATACAATAGACTTATTTTGTCCTATGTGGCAGATCTGAACTGAAAAGAATGACTTCCCAAGCACCTAGTAAATCAGCATACTCCCTTTAAATATCTAAGCTCAATTTAGATTTTAAATTCATTAACTAAGAAATCTCTCAGAAATTTGTCTCACAGCTGTCAAAATATCTAATGGATGGAAAAATCAGCTAGATCTTCACCAGAACGCACTTGCCCTATAAAGAAATGAATCACCATAAAACCAAGCATATTTTGTTTTATAACAGACAAGGCCTGGACTTCATCTATAACTGCCAACCTCCAACCAAAGAATTCCATCATCAGTACTGATTTATTCATGAAAAAGGGAAGGTTTTATTTAATATATTCATAGTCTTCTGACATTTGTCTTTATGAAGCAATCCCTGCCCAAGGAACATAATAAAATTCTTCATAAAGACTCCTGGTAGTTACTTAACATAAAACCATTAGATCTAATTGAAAGCCCTTTATGTCATTTCCCTTAAACTCCAACCATGCTTTTCAAGTCCCACAAACTTGGGCAAATTCTGTTGGTAAAACGTTATTCAGATGCATTGTTTCCACTTGGAAAACATAGGTTAATAAACAATGGTCACCGATACTGTAATAATCAATATATATGACTACAATTTTCCATTCCCCTACATGAGTTGTCAAGTTAAAGTTATAGCCATTTATATTCATTTTATGATATCCCTTTTGTATCTCCCTATCATTTAGTTTCTATGTAACTTAGCATAAGTGTAACGTCATTTTGTTTGAATGTGGTATGCATGTGAAGGGAAGCTTGTTCTAACAACCAAGGATCACCATGACCTCTTGCCCCTATGATTTCTTGCCCCCATGGCTCAAGACTGCACATGCAGCAAAGTCTGACCTCAAAGACAGGAACAACACATCAAGAGGAACAAGATTGAAGACTGTGCCTGTAATCCTTCAATGACAGAGACCTATCAGTAAACAAGTCTGTAAAATCAGCACCTGGGACCATGACAGATCAGCCTGGTCAGAATGGAAAATTACTACACGCTGGACAAAGACTTAATGCCCCCTATAAAAAGGAGGGATTTAGCAGCAAGAAGTTGGGCAAGTTCTGCACAACAACAATGGAGCATTGGTATGCATTTGACAGAAGCCCAGCTCCCTCCTCATGCTCAGCTTAGCTGGCCACTAAGTTGACTCAAGCAACTCAAGACTGGTAACATCTTAGCATCTGCAGAATTGTTTCTGTATATGCGTGTGAATGCAAATGTGATGCTCTAATGTTTTTGTATTTTCAATAAACATAGCATATTTCCTTGTCCCCTGATAAAGATCCTGCTTGTTTTCAATGCACTGTATGCCCAGTGCGTACAACTGGGTGGGCAATTATTTGGACTGGAGGGCCACTCAGGGAGTTTTGGTGAGTTGTTGCAGGCTGGGTCAGCACCCCCACTTCCCTGGAACAGCTCACCAAAAGTCCTTAAGAGGCTCTGCCCCTCGCAGGCAGATGGGGTGGGGCTACAGACAGGCACAGAACGGCATCTGGGAGTGGGATGGGCAGATAGGGCTGAGGCTGGAACTGCAGGGAAGTGACAGAGTGAGGCTGCGACCCAGTGCAGAGCTATGATCTGATTCCCGCGTGCTCATGATAGGCGCCAGTTCTGTGGGCAGGGTCATGCAGGGAGCACACTGCAGCTCTGTCCCAGGCCCCAGCCCTGTGCTGTTACTATCCCATGATCCCAAGGTCACAATGAAGACCATCTGGGACCCACATGGGTAATGTGTGCAGCCAGGTGGACAGGATGGAGCCAGAGGCAGGTGGGAAACAAGGTCCAGAAGCGGACAGGTGGGGCCAGGGCTGGGATTGTAGGGCTGTGATTGCATGGAGCTGGGGCAAAGGGCAGAGCCGCAATCTGCTCCCAGCATGCCCCTGCCCGTGGAACAAGAGCTTGTGTGTGTGAGAAGCAGATCGCAGCTCTTCCCTGAGCTCCGGCCTCACAGTGGCACTGCCTGGCAGTTCGAACCCATCCCACTCCAGGACACCGCTCCGCCTTTGGCCACAGCCCCATCCTATGCGCCTGGCCATGTGCCTTGCCTGCATGGGTCCCAACTCTGGCAGCGGGTATGGGGTAGATGGACCGGGGTTCTCAAGCAGCGGGGCCAGGTCTGGTGATGGAGGCAACACTGGCAGCAGCAGCTGGAAGGAGCCACCAGCCACCACGTAGCTCCAGCTCTGCTGTGCACACTGGGGGTGGTGAAACCAGCCTCATGCTCCATGGCCCGAGCTGCCCCCCATGCCTTGGCTGAGCCAGACAAAATCCCTTGGTGAGCCAGATCCCCACCCCTGTATTTTGTCCACGCCCATCTTAGACCCTCAAACCTCCTGAAATCACAGAACCCTTTCATATCACTTCTCCTGTAGAGACCCCTACCTGTATCCTAAACGCTGGCATGGAGCCAGGTAACCCAGGCCAGCAATGGTGGTGCACCACCTTCCAGCTCACTACACTATTACCTCCAATCTCCTTAAAGAACACCTGTTGACCTTTTGTGTAACCCTAGAGTTCCTCAGAACAGAGTTTGAAAACCATTGCCTTTAACCAAATCTAAGTGGCACAAGTATTAAGGGAATACTAATGTTCAATTAAATATGGAAAGTAAAATCTAGCATTTACTTATTTTAATATAGTTTAGATTGATTCTGTTGTAGACCAGTTACCTCATATTTTGCAACTCCAGAACAACTGCTTTTCTTGGTCTTGTGGAAGATATATCACTGAATGGAATTTCCAATTTAACCTATATAGCAGGAGTTCTCAAATATCCACATTATGGTCTTTGCTAGTCTTTACTTTCTTATTTTCAGTGATCATACTGAAGAATCACTAAGCACAATGCAAAAAATACCACCAATTTTGATCTTTGTATATGGAGATAAAAATCATTCTTCCCAGGAAATGTAACTTAAATCTAATGGGCAAGACTTTCAAAGTGCATTAATGACTTATGAGAACAAGTCCAATCTACTCTGTATGGGTCTTCCATTTCCAACTCCATTGAAAAATCTTTCATTCTCTCTTTTCTGGGAGATTCTATAGGACATTTAAAAGATATAATCCCCCAAAAAGGGCCCAACTCTCCAAAACATTTGGGTTCTAACCTGGCATGTTGCCTTCTCCTCCTTAGATGTGCCTAATTTGAACTTCCTTCCTCTATTCTCTTTTTGGGACCTAAACTCTTTGTCACTTATTTAACACCACTGTGATAGCAGACATGTTCTTTAATGAAAGAATGATACAGACACATTGATTATTAGACTTTTTATTTTTTTATACTTCCATCCCGGTCAAGTATAATCAACAGTGAAATTTTCAAGTACATAATGTGATTATTTTAATTTGAATGAAAAGATAGTTATTTATCAACTAGTAAATATCTCTTTGTATATTACAAAAATATAATAAACTTACTCCATATAATAAACTTACTCTTACTTACTCCATTTATTTCATGTGTGGAGGCACATGCATCATGCCAAACATAATGCTTAATTTTTTACTAACTGAATCATTGGTGTATTGTGTCTGTTGGTCAACTTGGCCTTAAGAGAATACTCAGCATCAGAGATTCCCATTTCAGAGTGGGAAGATGTCGATTCATTTTAACTTAAAAAATGAGTCTCTTTCTGGCCAATAACCTTATATTCCAAATGTATTATGAGGCAAGTGTAGACAGCCAATTTAAACTGCTGTAAATGAGATCAATCAATTTCACTAGCTACATTTTAGTTTACATAATAATACAGATCAACTACTTACCCACTGTGTCAATAAGTTCTTTGACGTTTGTTGGACTCTTCTGTAGGTGAATCTGCCAGTCTTACTTTAAGTCTGACGCCATTCACAACCTTTCCATGTAATGCAGTTATAGCATTGTTGGCGCTCGTTCTGTCTGCAAACTTGGCATAGCCCACATTTTTTCCTGGCACACGGTAAACTTCAATAAGGTGTCCAAACCGACTAGAAAACACCAACAAGGAAAAAACAAGTGAAGTTATAAACCTCATAATATTACCAACTTGTAAACACTGCTAAGCTATGATACCCACAATTCCGCATCAGCTGCATACTACTTTAACAGTAACAGTAAGTTTTACTTCCACAGACCTGGCAGCTGATTTTGTGCTGCCCTCCCCCATATCTCTGTATATCTCCCTCCATTTTAATAGCCCTAAAAGATGAAGAAAGAAAAGCAAGAACTGTTATACCAGAACCTCTAAGCTAGGGCTGTCCACCTTATTTGGCCCCATGAATCCAGCACTTCTTATGGACCAGACAACCAACTTCTAGCAGCAGGAGGCAGCACTGACACGGTTTCAGAATCCAGGGATGAGTGCTGGCACCATTCACCCCTGCCCCTTCCTGCTGATGCTGATTTGAGTTGCCAGACTGAAAACCCTGAATTCAGTTGCAAGCAGGGAGGTTGTGGGTTGCAGAACCATGCCAACACAGTGACCCTGGCATCTGCACTGACAAACCCTGCAGGCCACAATTTCATCCTTTATGGGCCATGCACAGGCCATAGGCTGCCCCTTGGAGAGCCCTGGTCTAAGCATACCAACAATAAGCCGACACCATATGAATTACCAACATTTTGCCTAATACACCAGAGAAAGTATATTAGGTAATACACCTGATTGACATCTTGGTTGGAAAAGATAACTGGCAGTATTTCTGGCAAAAGTTCTTGAGCTCCAGTGTAACAAATGGATGTTTGTTCACTTATGATTTCCATTTTGAGAATAAAATGACTAAAAAAAAAAAAAAAAAAGATATTTTAAAGTTTTTACAAAAAAGTGTCATCCCTTCGTAAGTTACTAGGTAGTTCCAAAGCAGGGTCACAATGTAGAGGCAAAAAAAACAAAACACTTGTATATGATGTACTTTTTACTAGGTTGTAATTTAGATGCAAAGACAATAAAGAGTTGCTGTCTTTAGCTCTAGGCTCCAAGACCCCAAAGAGGTACATTTTAAATTCCTTGTAACTCAGCATTATTGGTTTCTTCTGTTTGCCTGCTTTAAAGTAGTTGAAATTTTTAAAGACCTGTTCTAAGTCTCTCCAATAGAGATGCCAGAAAGTTGTCTCTGTAGACAGGAAGTTCTGCTACAAAAACTTAAACTTAGAGAACAACTATATGGTGAAACAGAATTTTTCCACTCTGAGAGTTTGACCTAAAAGAACAGGAACTTTGCTTAAACATAACAATCTTGAAATGTTATAAAATAGTGTTCCTGTATTCATAATTAAACTAAAGCTGCTGCTGCATTTTATACTATGTAGGTTCTTTGCTAAAAACCATTGTTTAAAAATTTGTGTTTTTCTGGACTACCATTCTTGTATTCGTTATTATTGCTATATCCACTATTACTTTGTCAGTTTATTAATGTTACTTTTTCACCTAGTTTATTACTAATAAGTTGCCTATTGTTTCTCTCTTACTTACGCCATTTATTTCATGTGTGGAAGCACATGCATCATGCCAAACATAATGCTTAATTTTTTACTAACTGAATCACTGGCGTATTGTGTCTGTTGGTCAACTTGGCCTTAAGAGAATACTCAGCATCAGAGATTCCCATTTCAGACTGGGAAGATGTCGATTCTTTCAGAAATATATAATAATCCAATAATGCAAGTAGACAAAGCAATACTAACATTGGTTTTAAAAGACTGAAAGCAAGAATTGTATCTCAGGTCTTGGGGCTGATATGCTAGTTGCACCAAACAAAGCACCAAAAAATATGTATTACATTGATAAACTTTACACTGTTTCAGATCAAATATGTGCCCAAGACTAGATGATCCAAAGAGTTACTGTGGATTAGATATATCAGTTTATGTAGCCAACTGCACACAAGGGAGCAATGTGGTTATCACAGGGGTGGGCAATTATTTTGTTAAAGGGCCACTTCGTGAGTTTTAGTGAGCTGTCACAGGCTATGTCAGCACCCACAGCATCCCTCCACAACAGCTCACCAAAACTCCCTAAGTGCTCCCTGCACACTACCGGGATGGGGAGCAGGGAGCAGCATCTAGGAGCGGGGCAGGTGGGTAGGCCAGGGCTGGGATCGCAGGCCAGTCACAGTGTGGGGCCAAGGCCTGCAGCAGAGCTGCGATCTGCAGCCTGCACATCCCTGCAATGGGTGCCAGTTCCACAGGCAGGGGTGTGCAGGGGGGCAGATCACGGCTGTGACCTGTGTCCCAGCCCCGCACTGTCAACACCCCATGATTCTAGTTCCAACACCACTCACCCATCCTGCTCCTGGACGCAGCTCCCCACCTGCCTGAGGCCCCATCCCATCCACTCGGTTGCATGCCCTGCCCACATGGGTCCTGCCCCCAACAGTAGGAGGAGTGGCAGACAGGCCAGGTCCAGCAGAGGTCCTGATCATTAGGATGGGAAGTCAAAGATGGGTGGATGACGTACTAACAACCCAGGGGTGGGCAAAATATGGCCCACAGGCTGGGTCTGGCCCACAAAGGCATTTTGTCTGGCCCACAGAAGATCCCTTGGCTCTGTCTGGCCAAGGTGCAAGGTGCTGCCTGGCCAAGGTGCAGGAATCTAAGTTACCATGCAAGCATCTCAGCATATGTCAAATAAAAAAAAAATACTCATTTCCAAAATGAAATAGATGCAAGAGAAAATTTCAATGAAATGCTGAAGGAGTCAGTAATACAACTGTTTTCTGCAAATAAAACTTATGAAATTAAATATATCACTTTAGATTAAGTTATTCACAGAGCAGGTTAATTTATTAGTAATGTGCTGCGCTTTTTCAGGCTTTCACCAAATACTGACACAAGTCCTCAAAACATGGATTATGATTTACTGAACACTTTAGCTGCTGTCATTTTGTGACAGAATTTTCATGATTTTAATCTTTTAAATTTTTTGCACTATTTCTAAATTTTGCAAAATTTATTCCACTATTTTATTTATAAAAATTATTTAAATGGAAACTTACCAAAACACATCCTCAAATACATGTACAGGTAAAGGGTGGGGATTAAACACTATAAAAAGCCTTTCCTTCACAGAAGTATCAGGTGGAGCTTTTTTTTTGTGTGATGGAAGCAGAGCATCTGTTTGGGGCTGATGTATCTGAGAGCCAGAACTTTCTCCATAAGCCTGGTAAAACAAAAAGAAACGGTAAAGGAAGATTTCCATTTCCTCCCACTTAAGGCTTCTGTAACTGTGTTAGAGCTTTGGAGTGCTGGATTATATAGTGATTCTCTGATAGCCAAAGCTTAAGTAATATATTTTTCTTGCACATTTCAATGACAATATTTTTCATGGGCAATAAATCCTATTAAGACCAGATCATCTTTAAAAAGAACAGACATTTACAAATCCATCAGCTATATTATTTTTTTTTAAAACCAAACAGTTCCTAAGGCAGAAAGGGATAAAAGAAGATTTTGGATACTGATTTTCATCAGACACTTCAATTTTTTACAGAAATTGGACGTTGAGAAGAAAATATTAATAGTATACATGGTAATTACTTACAGAAGATGTCCTGTGCTGCTGACTAACTAGATTACTATTCCACACCATTGAGGACACTTGTGCAGTCACCAACTGTGTTGCCATTTTTCTGATAAGGCTACAAACAGAAGTGTCTTTAGAAAAAAGCCACCTTACTACAGTCTTAAGAAATTTGACAATGCAAGAAGATACATCCCAACACACACCTAAAATTATATGTATAATATAAAATCTAGTCAAGCTTTTCATTTTGCCATGCATAATTTTGAATTTATATATATTTATCACTTTAGCACTTAACTTAGACAAAGTAGGATGCACTATGTAGTTCTTTTACTTTGTAAAAAATAATTCCACATATCTTGATGTAATAAAACAGGGATGTCCAACTGGCAGCCCACAGATCACATGTGGCCCATGAGGCGTTAAACTGAGGCCCCCAGGATCCCTGCCCAGCCTCCCCATCACTCCAGCTGCAACAGCAGTTAAAGTCTACATGCTTCCCTTCACTCCTCTGGCTGCTGCTTCCTGCCCTTGCCCCAGGGGGTCAGGCAGTGCATCAGCAGAATGAGCCAACAGCGATCTCAAGCCACACAATCCCAGGATGGTGGGGGTGAGGCTGCAGGTGTGAGGTGTAGTGGGGAGGACCTGTGCAGGTACACAACATGGGGAGGGGAGGATGACCACATGGGTGAGCAATGTTCATGGGCATGAAGTGCAGTATTAGGAGGAGGAGGGTCATGGACAAATGATGCAGTGGTGGGTAGGAGCATCTATGGGGCATGCAGCTCAGTGGCCATGGCTCACCCTGCAGGGCATGTAACCCTAGCTGGTGCAGCCTGCAGAGCACATGGCTCCTAGCTGCTTGGAAGTTGAACAGCCCTCACAAGGCATCCTTCAGATACATGAAAAATGCACCCTTTTCTGTAAGCAATGAATAAAAGACAAAAGGGACAGACAGAAATTTTAGTAGACATATGAAAAATGATTTTCACAAAGTGGAAAGTAATACTTTGATGCCACAAGAATGGACTGTGTAAAGGATGGATGTGGCCAATTAGCAGCTCCTTTTCTCCATATATTTCTTATTAAATCAAAGCTTTCACGGAGGAAAAAAGCCGATTGAGAAAACTGTTTGTTCAGTCTTCCATTACATGGTTTAGGAACATACAAAAGTAAACAAATACTTGAAAATGTGTCTTGTTCATATCCAGAATCAGCTACATGTATCCCAATATTTTGTATTTGGTTATTAATATAGTGAAATGGTAAACAACCTTTTTTGGCAGAGGACCACAATGATCCACCCTGAGTCAGAGGCAGGCAGACAGGCAGGCACTAGGACTCTGCCAGCTTGTCTCCCCAGCAGCAGGAGGACAGCACCCGCCACTAGCATTTGTCCTCTTGGCAGTACAGGGAGAGTGCCTGCAAAATGTAACCACCCTGCTGCCAAGTATCACCAAAGTCCTCAGCTGCCAACCCATGATATAGTGTATTTTGATCATCATTCTTGTTTCATCAGAAGCATACAAAGATCCCATTCACAAGTTAAGAACTGTTCTGAGTTGCCTGAAGTATTTCTTGCACCAAGTTCATTTTTAAATGTCCACCTTTCTTATAATTCTCTTATCCATCAACCACACTGTTGAATTAAGCATTAAAAGAAGGTTTAGAATAGCTTTCGATATATCGCATGTTGGCTCATAATGAGTATACAGACTTCATATACAGACTTAAGAATTTTCTCTTAAAGATGATTTATGAAATAAACTGGGTATTCAAGGGAGTATTTTGTTTTTTGATAATGCATATCTGAGAAATATCAGGAAGATGAAGTCCTTGCCTTCTCTACTTTTCTGTATGGTCTCCTGGAAAAAATTGAGACAAAGGAGCTCACCCACATTATTAAATGGAAAAACAGTCTGCTGAATCCTTAACAAATTTTTTTCATTTTATTTGTAAAGAGTTTAAGTTAAGTAACATCTGACCAAAAAATTTCTTCTCCATGTCTACTCAGGTTCCCTTCTTTGATACCCGTGGAACCAAAATCCTGTTAGTTTTTACAGTCATGAAGAAAAGTTTCTCAAAACTGGAAGATTTCTGTCCAATTTTTATTTTCAAGAAGTCTTCTTAAAATTAAAGAAATATTTTCCCTTTTCCTTTTAAGGAAAAGCAGTGATGTTTGGTGTGTCAAAAAACTTCCCTCCCTGGGAAGTTTGGGTGAAACACCCAAAATATAAGAGGACATAACTGTGTAATAGGCATGAAACTGTACAGCAGCAGTAGCTAGGTTTTATTCCCCTATACCAAACATGACTGTTAAAGAGCAACATGACTCTCCAAAATGTGTGGGTCACAACCTACGTGAGTTGCTACTCACTCTGATCCATCACTTCCATCTTCAAGGAAAGTGACTGCCAGCCGATTTCCAGGTGGGTATTCAAAACCATGTAGCTTGTATTTAGCATATACAGCTGATGCTGCACTGCTGTACTGAATCACAGCATACCCTAGAGATGGATAAATTATATATACTTTCAACAGTATCTGGGTAAGTTTAACATTCTGAAAACACTATTAAAGTGAGGTATAAAAAAGCAAACAATACAGCAGGGTCCAATTTCAAATGAATCATTACTCTATTTTTAACATTTTAGAAATCCTTCCCTTCTTTTATTGGCCAAACTATTCACTGAATATGACCTGTATTTGCAGATAGTTTCACTAATCCCCAAACTCCGTTTTTCAATGAATTTACTATTTGTCAAAGAAAGGCCACCCAACTTTTCTTATAAACTGCAGCTTAAAAAGGAATACACCTTGGTGTCTCATATCATACCAACCGAACTGCTGATAAAAAAAATACTTAACAATGCCCCAGTAAACTAATCTATCTTGTTCCACCACAGCAGTATCAGTAGTGGAATTTTAGTGAAGAAATAATACAATATTTAATTTAAAAAGGTATAAAAGATGAACGTGACTTAAACAAAAAACATGCACACATTTCATTTAACAATTCTAGCTATTGTTGATGTCATAAATCTATTGATGACAGGAGTCTATTATGAAATAGCTTTCATTTGGTTTCAGCTTCCAAGCATTTGAAACCTGGGGGTGCCTGTAAACAAGAGTGGAGGCTGCTCCACCGTGTTGTGATTACAGCACATCACAGAGCATACTTAATTAAACAAGTCTACTGAACCATGGCAATTACCATACTCTAGCAGCCTTCTACATCTCATGTGTCAGCACCACCACATTTCAAAATGGCAGTGGGGGCACTTGAACTAAAGCTCATTGGACAGGCTTTAGTTCAAAGAGCTAAATGAGATTGAATTCCAGCACTCCCACCGCTATTTTGAAGCATGGGGATGCTGATACACAAGGCATGGCAGTACTTTAATCAGAGTGGCTCTTGGAGCCACTTTAATTAAAATGCCACTCCCCCCACCCCCAGAGCATGTGTAAAAAACTTCCCTAGGAGTTGTTGTCAGCTGATCCCATATATGAAAAGTATCAGTACTTTCAGGAATCTAGTAAGGGAGATAACCTGTTCAGACCTACTGGTTAGTCAAATGTGGTGATACAGAGTAGAAAGAGTAGGAGGAAAACAGCATGGGTATGTCCAGAGGACTGTGCACATGTAGTTTGCAGTGCTACAGACCCATCTGCAGCACCACAAATCACACATGCCAGCATTCGCTGTACTAATTTGCAGCGTGGCAGGCTTTTTTGACGCCAGGAGATCCCAGTGTCAAAAAAACCTGAGACAGAAAAAAGCAGGGCAGCACAGGTGGCAGCAGCATATGCCACCCAAAACCAGATCCTGGCTGGCCAGAGCCAAACTCCAGCTGACAGCCAAGCTCTTTGTGCCTGGCTTGCCTCGGATGGAGCCCTAGGAAGCCCCCACAACCTGAGGTAAGGCTGCTGGGGCCAGCCAAGGTGCTGGTCCCAGCTTCCCATTCCCCACCCAGACAAATAGCAGCCCCACAGCTATGTGCCACTGCTATTTGTCTCCTGGAAAACACACATGCACACTCATCTGGATGCACCCCATGAGTACCAAATTAGTTTATACTCCATTCCCAAAGAAATATGCATTTTTGAACAAAGGCAACTAAGAAAAAAAAAGGAAAATATTTTCAGAGACATACATTTTGAATGTATGTAAGGGGTTCTGTGCATATTGCTATTTACCACAGTTAGTATGAGGATCTCGCTGCACATCACAGTATTCCAGCCCTGGAACTAGATCAAAGAGGGTAAACAGCTGCTCTTTTACGAAGGGGAGTCGTGATGACACTGACAGGCGTTTGGAGACTGATTTCTGAACTCTGGTCTCATTTTTTTCAAAACTACAAAATTCTGTCTGCCCTCCTCAAGAGCCAATAAAAAACAAGAATAAAAATAAATTACAAGTCAAGATACTGTTATGTCTTAATGTCAAACATCATATTAAAAATGTCTAGGACCTAAGTCAAGTAAAGACAATGTGCTTAGTTCATCAATGCATACTTATTTTCTTCAAACAATTAATACAAGGCAAAATGTAAAAAAAATAAAATAGATAGGAAGCCTGAATACAAAAATTATGCATTTGAATTGGAAATGAAACCAGACACACAGGGTGTGTCTAGATGAGCCCACACATGCCTCTTGCCACATCTCAAAGCAGTTTGAGACATGGCAAGAGGCACACTGAGAACAAAAAAACCCATTCCCTGCGCTTCATATTTGCAGTGCAGGCTCAAAATTTGATACCTGGATAGCCAGGACAGCCCCCAGGCAGATGTGTGCACACAGGACCCAGCCCGACACATAGGCCATCCCCACGAGCAGCACTGGCCCCCAGGTGACATGCTGAGCGGACCAGAGCTCCCCAAAGGGGCACAGCCCCACACTGAGCCGAGTCAGGCCCACGCGGTGTGCCATAAGCAGCGCCAGGTGCCAGGCAGCTGGAGCCGAGCCACGCTGCCCCACACCACATGGGGCGAGGCTGTGCCAGGAGGGTCCCTGAGCACCCCAACAGACACTGCTGCTGTGGGGGTGAGCTATAGGCCCTGGTGGGGGAGCTGTAGCCCCTGCAGGGGGGCATGTGGGCCCTGAAGGGGGGCTTTGGCTCCTGCGGTTGGCTGTGGACCCTGTTGAGGAAGCTGTGTCCCCTCCTGAGCAGCCCTCCTGAATGATCCCCCACACCCACAGTCCCCTATAATCTACCCACAAACCCCACACACCCCTCCCCCACATACTTGGCCCCATGGGTCAGGAGTGAGGGGATTGCGGCAGGCTGTGGGTTCAGAGTGAGGGGCAAGGGCAGGGGCATGGCACTGGCATATCAGTGCTGCTCAGCGCTGCACATTCTGGTGAATGAAGGGGGTAGGGACAGCTCTGAATTGTCTATGACAAAGAAGCCAAAAGTAAATGCCAAAATATATAGATTTAGAATTTATTTTATTATGAGGAAGCCTACCAGTGCCTCTATCATAACTGCTTTAAACTCGTAAATACATCAACAAAAAATTGCCCAATTGATCTCTCTATATCTAGTGGCATTTCATTTTAATAGCAAAAAAACACGATTCAGGGTATTTTAATGAGCGAATGTCCGGGCACATGTGCCGAGGCAAAAAGCCCTGGCTCAAATTTGTGCTGCTCCTCTTTGAGCTCCTGCAAGCACACATGCCTGCATGCGTGGATGCACCCCTAAACGCTGTGTTTTAAACACTAATGGAGTCTATTTGTTGTTTCTCTTTCTACACAAACATCCCTCTGAAACACCCTTATCATTATTTTATGATCATATTAAGAGACTTACAAAACATTACTAACATGATCAAGTTGTTACTTACCAAATGGAAACATATTCCCTCTTGATTCCTGCTCAGCACTACCATAACTAATGTAATTTTCATGTTCAGAGGATTCAGATGGCTTTTTTCTAGGTTCAGCCAAAATGGCCCTGTAATCTGAAAAATCAGCCACATGCATTTCAAGTTCCTCAATGCATTTTCATACATCTATAACCACATTAATGAAGCACCATATTTAAAGAGTATGAGACAGAAAGCCCAATTAGTTACCACTTCTTTACAAAAACAAAATACAAAAAAAATAAAGTAGTAGTTAGGGTAGAGATGTACCTTATAAACAAGAAAGAACAACAAAAACCCTTCATCTATAAAAAATCAGAACTTGTGGCAGAGATGGTATCTTTTATTAGACCAGCTATATATTTGCAAAAAAAAAAAAAAAATCCTTATTTGCAAGCTTTTTGGTGCTCACACTCCTTTTCAGGCCTAGGTAAATACAAAGATTGCAAAATTTTTCCTAAGTGAAATTGAAAATTCATATTTCACAGGACAGCTTAGGGTGTTGTAAGATCTCCAGGTTGGAATAGTTCATTTTGTGCAAATTAGGCTCAGATAAGTTAGAACAGTCTTTTTACCTCAAAGTTGTCTGGTGGTATGATACAGCTATAACCTGTATACCTGAAACATGGAAAATATCAAATTTTAGCTATTTTTTAAACTGAAAACTTCATAATTTTATAACAAGGAAACAAAATGTACCACCTGGAAACTTGAAAGTTGACACCCTGCTCCTGACTGTTGTTCAAACTAAATTTGCATTTTCACGGAACTTAGAGGCACCTCAACACAAAAGAAATTCCCGCCCAGAAGAGCATTTCATCTCCCCACTCTCCTGTGAAATATGAAACATCATAACCAGAAAGAAACACAATTCTACATCCCGCTTGCCACCACACAACTTCGAGGTTAAAAGACTGTTCCAACTTTTATCTGAACCTAATTTGCACAAAATGAACTATTCCAACCTGGAGATCTTACAATCCCGTCGTCAGCTCTCCTGTAAAACATGAATTTTCATTTCCACCTAAGAGAAATTTTACAATCTCTGAATTCTCCTATGCCTGAAGAAGGCTGAATGTGCCCAAAAGCTTGCAAATAAAGACATCTTTTGTAAATAGCTAATCTAATAAAAGATATCACTTCTGCCACAAGTTCTGACTCCTTTTGCCTGTAAATCAGTATGGCTATGGTGTGTATACCCTCATCTCCAATTCATTTAATTTAACTGCTTTCAGTTTTCTAATCAAGTTATCTCAGAATCTCTTCTTTCACAAGGAATCTATAAAGAACCTATTTTATAGCATCAAGAAATACTGTTATTTTGGGCATAAACAACACAGAAGAAGGCAATTAGAAGCGAGATATTCGTGCAGGCTCAGTATTACTATTGCGGAACACAGTATGTTTAAAATTAGGTACTGCTCTTGCATAAACAATTTAGTCAGCTCTCAAACCACCAATTCATTTCTTTCTGACCTCAGGCCAGACGTGAAAAAGGATTTAAAGAGAAACACTAATTTTTTAGCAGTGTCATAGAATCATAGGGTTGGAGGGACTTCAGGAGGTCACATCTAATCCAACCCCCTGCTCAAAGCAGGACCATCCCCAGCTGGATCATCCCAGCTAAGGCTTTGTCTAGCTGGGTCTTAAAAACCTCCAAGGATGGAGATTCCACCACCTCTCTAGGTAACCTGCTCCAGTTCTTTACTACCCTCCTAGGAAGAAAGTTTTTCTTAATATCTGACCTACATATTCTGATACTCTTTACACTGTAACTAAATGTGGTTCAGGGTATCAGCATTTCAATGCATGTGTTTCTGCATACTGATTTTAGTTACGTTACATTAAGCTTTATTTACTTTTGTATTAAAAATGAACACATTCATATTTTGGGATACATGTGCAGTCTTTATAAACTATTACAGATTGGGGTTAATAATGTTAGCTGTTATCTTTCCATTCCAACCCACTCAGAACAAAGTTATTCTAATATATATCATGATTTGTTGGCAGATTCAATCTGACTGTTTGTTGGCTCATGACGGAAGATTTGAAGAATATCTTTTACTAAAATCACAACAAGGACTTTAATGCTAGTGACTGCTTAACACATTTGTGAGGGAGTAGTGTCAAATACTGCTACTTTATAAAACGATTAAACAAATAGCTATCATACAGCAGCTAAGCAGCAGAAAACACTCCAAAAAGGTGAGCTTTATCATTTCCATTTACACACAGAAAAACTAAGATACAAAAAAAAAAATTAACTGCCCAAGTTCAAAATGAGAACTAACACCCATCTCTTTACTCTCACACCTATGATCTAACCACTAGATAACAATTTTAACTGCAACACAGTTAAAATTGTAATATTTAACACATTATTACAGTCTGAAAAGTCAGTGTTTAAATAAATCTTCCTTCAATACTATATGTACTTTACACAGAAGTCATCATAATACGGTTTATTTTTATCTTTGTAAATTATCATGCTCATTATTTTGTACAGATCCTGTGTACACTGAGAATTTTGTAAAATGGGGTTCAGCCAATGCACTGAATCTACATATACTGCATCATACATGTGTGATACAGCATCAGGAAAATCACTGTAGTCATTCATACAGTCATTTCACTATTTTTATTTTTAATCAAAGACCTTGAAAGTACTTATTCAGGTGATTAGTCAGATGGGTTGTAACTGTGTGTGTGTTTGTGGGATTAAATCCTATAGAAGTTACACATACTATGGTAGAGTTAAACCATAAATAATTTCTCTGCTAATAACAACCAAAGACATTAGGCCAGTGTTACTTAAAACTACACCAATGAGTATGCAGCTTCTAACAATAAATGTGTATAGAAAAATATTACAATTACACTCTTACTTCGATCACACTCTTCTATTGCCAGGGCAGCTTGAGATGGTTTTATATACTTCACATAGCCCAAACCTTTACTTTCTCCTGTGTTCTTGTTCTTAATAATGCTGCAATAGTCAATATCTCCATATATCTAGGATATTTAAAGAGTTAATAGTTATTATATAGCATTTGACAAAACAACAGATTTTTACTCTCTTCTGACAAAAAAAAATAAATGAAAAAAATTCAATTAGAAAAAATAATTAACTGGGTGTCAGTTAGTACCTTAAATTTATCTCGCAAATCTTCCTCTGTATAGGACTTCGGTATCATAACAAAAATTCGTGTAAGTTCTTCATCTTCAACATCTCGGTGGCTTCCAGAAGCTCTAGATTGTGCAATTAATACCTAACAGAAGAATTAAATAAAGCATTAACTATCAGAGAAAAAGACAAATGCATACATGGATAAGCAAGACAAATAACTGGATGCTGTCAAAAAGCTTTGCACTTATGTGCTGCGTATTTTCTCTACTCCTAAAATAAAAAGCACAAAAGACTGTCTAGTATTAGCATTCATGACAAAATACCTGCTACTGCAACCAGTGTAAGCCCCTCCAGCCAGGAACCCAGCTGAGAGAATAAACCTTCGTACATTTTAGGTAGAATAGAGGGGAACGGACAGAGTGCCTAAGCTGACTTACTATCAGCAGTACTGCTATCATAGCTGCCCCCTAAGAATGTGCTGCAGTAACAAAATGTGCTGCTATTGAAGACCATCCATGATTTTAACATTTAACAATATTGTGTTGATGCCCCTTTTACTTTAATGAGAGTCTGTACATTTATTTATTGATTGCTCAGTCGCTATGCCACCTTTCCCATAAGCCTCAGGGCATCTTACAATAAAAGCATGTCGCATGCAATATGGGAGAAATTAGGCCTTGTTCTTAACTACACTTCTAATAACATTATTCTTTTCTATTGCATCCTTCAGAGGATTCCAAGGCAAATGTTTGGCTGGGAAGTAAATCCACCTAAGGTCATCCTGTAGCAGATGGACCAGTCCCTGTTCTTCCAACTCCAAGTCACAAGTTCTATTAAAAACCATCCTGCCTACCTGCATGACTTGCTGTGAACACGTAACCCTTCCTGACTGTTTAGGCTCATTTATATTTATTGTTCAGATAACAAGAAAACAAGTCAACAGGCAGAAAACCTCTGATTCCACTCACTTGCATGAGTCTTAAGAACTTCCACAAATCTTGCTTCTGAAGTGCCACACTTCATCAGCTAGGCATTCCCTGGCCTTAAAATCCAACCCAGGGGTATCAAATATACAGCCCACTGGACCACCCCATGTTCGGGCCCTGCGTGCTGCACATGATGTGTGGGCTGGACCTGATGCTGCATGCACTGCAGATGGTCCTGGGTGCTGCATGCAGCCTGCTCCCCAAATCCCTTGTGCAGCACTGGATCCAGCACACACACCATAGGGAGCAAGCACTCTGTTCCAGCCCTGGGGGCTGCATGCACAGCAAGCCCTGGGTCCGGCACATGCTGCACGTGGTGTGCAGGGCTGGACCAGCCACACACACTTCATGTAGCACAGGGGGTTGGTCCAGGGCACATCATGCATGCAGCACCCAGCCAGACTGGCCCTGCACACTGGCTCCAAAGCCAGTCCAGCTCCCTGTGCCAGGGGCTGGTCCCATGGGGTGGAAAGTTTGAGACCCCTGCCCTAACCTATTTAAACAAAGAAGATAAAAACTCATCTCAGGAATCTTATCTTCCTCTTGCCGGTGCAGGGTCATCTTTCCCTCCCTGTTTCTCTCCCCCCATCCCTTCCTGCACTGAGGAACAGGCAAACAGGCAGTCTGACCACAGACAGGCCAGGAGAAATCCTGTCCAATGCACAGAAACAAATGCAGCGTGAACAAGCCTTGGCTCCAAGGGGCTACATGCAACAACGGTGGGTGATGCGGATCAGTGGGAAAGTGTCTGAACCCCCCGAGGCCCAGCATGGACCAGCCTTGCACTCATGGAGAGGCGGGAAGCGAGGGCGCCAGCTCTCCAAGCCCCGGACCCCGATCTGCCCAGACGGGACCGCGGCTTTGCCACGTGCATAAGAAAGCAGCAGCATCCTTGACAAGGGTAAAAGCCACCGCGCCTTGGCCACGGCCTGCTCGTCTCGTCCCTCGACCCCGATCGCGGCGGCCCCAGGACCAGCCAGCGGGGCCGGGCGAGGCGGGCGGGCGGTACCTTGATGGGCTTGGTGTCAGGCGCCAGGCTGCGGCCGTGCAGCGCCTCCATGGCCCGGCAGGCCTGCGAGCTGCGCGCAAACTTGACGTAGGCGACGCCGCGGGACTCGCTCGTGAGCCTGTCGCGCACCAGGCAGATGTTCTGGATGTCGCCGAAGGGCGCGAAGCGCTCGCGGATCAGCGCCTTGCCCGCGTCCTTGCCCAGCACCACGAACAGGCGGCTGTTGGGCGGCTCGTCCACGCACTCAGCCGCCAGCCCGGCCCCGCCGCCCTCCTCCATGGCCGCGACTGCAGCGGGGACGCCCGCGGCGTCCCACAGCGCCCCCCGCAGCTGCGGCCGCAGCGAGCCCCGCCTCCCCACGCCCCGTATGCGTGCGTGTGTGCGCGTGAAGCCTCCGGCCAGACAGCCCGTATTTCACAGCGGAGACAAACACGAGGATCCCGATCTGTCCTTCCCGGTGTTTTCTATCCACTGTCTTGTCTGCACGGAGCGTAAAGACGCAGCCGCAGGCGGGTTTGCGTCGCGGCT